TAAACAACCCTACCTTGATATTCACTGAGGGCAAGGAAATTAATTGTACACTTCAGCTGTTTTTTCCCCCCATGTTCTATCCTGAAGCTTTTCCAAATAAGGGGAGGGGAGTTAAACTTTAATTTTGCTTTTGAGTACTTTTTCCAAGATGGGAAGAGTTTTTAAAAGTTCAACAGTGAAATAAAAATGTAAGGATGCATGCATGTCTGGTAAAGAAATCTGGACATGCTGTGCCAGTGGCAAATGGAAAGGAGGGGGACGAGAAATGCAGTCTTTTCTCAAAAATATTTAATTTAAATGTAATAAAACACTGATTCACAAGAAATGCAGAAAAAAAAAGTTTACTTGAATTCATTTTTAACAGCAATGTTAGCAATGTTTTCCATTTTGCAGGGATCTCAGTAATTACAATTAATACATTTTACACCCTAGGATGCTGAGAAATTACAGCCATGCACAAATTCTGTGAAAGGACCAAGAATAAAAGTCAAATCGCCACTTTCTAAATTGTATGCCTTCTCCAGCTGCACTCTCTCAAGCATTCCTGTTCTCACTCATAACTAATGATTATTAGTTATTTTCCCAGTCACTGTAACACCCCTGGAGAGCCCTTCACTGAGTTTAAATGCTGAGGGGGAGCTACAAATAATTCAGAGGCAGTAACAGATCAGCTGCTCATCTATTTGCTGTTCAGAACATGACTTGGTACCTGCAGTTTACTGGTTTCTGAACACTAAGTTTTCAGCACTGCTGGAAGGGAGAAGTACCAAGCAGGAGGGATGACTGTGGGAGGGAGGGAGGGAAGGTAGGTGAGGGGGTGGAAAAATGAGCTTTACTGAATAATGAAGTGAGTGAAAATGAATGGGAAAAGAGAGAGAAAAACTGGTTAAATATTTAATCTCCATTGCATTTGCTTTTGAAGAGGAGACAAAAGACTTGGAACATCTTTTGTCTTGAACTAATTCTGACCAGAGATGAATGGCATGTGATTGTCACTTCTGTCATTTGCCTTAAGGTGGAGAGAAGCAGATTGGCCCTGCTGCATCAGCCCAGCACATCAGCCTCTGTCTCCAGCTGCAGCCAGTGCCTGAAGCTGCAGAAGGTATTAAATTACTCGTGACAGTGCAATTGTATGAGCCCACACTGGCCTGCATCCTGGTGCCAGCGTGGTCAGCATGTGTGGTGCCCAAGAGCTGCACTCTTCTTTGGGGAAGGAAACTCCTTGCAGAGGTCTGAGGAGCAGTTGTGCCTCCCCATATAGTAAGTCACTTCATTTAGGTCTTTGCCATTTGAAACCAGGTGCTTAGTGCAACACATATCAGCTCTAACTTCCTCTTCTCTCCCCATTCCTCTGTACATCTTTCTACCCAGCCTCTTTCTGCCACATTCCTTCACTTCCCTTGACTTGCCCTCTGTACTCCTCCATCTCTGCTCACCCACGGTCTAGGCAGGGCCAAAAGCCACACAGGTGCCTTGTGGAGCAGTCACAACTGCACAATTTGGGGCAGATTCCACAGCTGAGGCAGCCCCACGGATGAGCTGGCAGGACCTGCATGATGGCATCAGGGACAACAGGGAAATGCGCCAGTGGCTGTTGCATCAACAAACCACAGAATCACAGAGCAATTTCTTTTGGAAGGGACCTTAAAGATCAATTAGTTCCACCTCCCCTGCCATGGGCAGGGACTTCTTCCACTAGACCACATTGCTCAAAGCTCCAGCCTGGCCTTGAACATTTCCAGGGATGGGGCATCCACAACTTCTTTGGAAAACCGTTCCAATGCCTCACTACTCTCATAGTAAGTATTGTTTTCCTTTACTCTAATATAAAATTTCTCCTTTTTAAATTTGAAATCGTTACCAGTTCTCCTATCCCCTTTCCTTTCGAGTAGACTCTTCTTGGCTACTAGAAGGTTCTATAAGGAATCCCTTCTCTTCTCCAGGAAAGGAGAGACAGTCTCTCAGGCTGCCTTCATAGGAGAGGTTCTCCATCCCTCCTATCATCTCTGTGGCCCTCTCAAACAGGTCCATGTCCCTAGTGTGTTGGGCACTCCAGAGCTGGATGCAGAACTCCAGGTGGGGTCTCATGAGAGTCGAGTAGAGGGGCAGAATCCCCTCCCTTGACCTACTGGCCACAATTCCTTTGATGCAGCCCAGGATATAGAGCTGTGAGTGCACATTGCTGGGTCATGTCAAGCTTCTCATCAACCAACACCTCCAAGTACTTCTCCCCAGGGCTGCTCTCAATTCATGCCCTGCCCTGCCTGTATTTCTTCTTGGGACCACCCCATATGCAAGATCATGGACTTGGCCTTACTGAACTTCATGAGGTTCACATGGGCTCACCTCTCAAGTCTGTCAAGGACCCTCTGGATGGCATCCCTTCTCTCCAGCCTGTCACTCAGCAAGGCAGGCACAGCCTTTCATAGCAGTGGTGGTTCTCTGTGGCCACTGCCTGTCATCCTAAACAGCCTTAACTGGATAAAAACCTCATTTAGGCTTTCTTTATAGACTGGAGGAGTGGGAGGGAGAAATGCTTCTAGAGACTAATACGTTGCTAGCCTGTCTTTTAAAATGATAAATATCTGCAAGATTTAAGAAAGGCCGATGGTCTCTGACTAATCAGAGGAACTTCTTAGAGTGGGAACTTCTCTTGCTTTGGCAGAGACTTTGTCCTTCTGATTCACTTATTCCATTTATAACCCTTAAAGCAAAGAGGTGCTGCCATCCCTGCTCCTCAGAGGAGGGAAGATATAGTGTGACTTCACCAGAGCCACTTGTGGGATATCTTTGAGAAAGTAGGAATTTTTTGACCTCACTGCAGAGGATCTGAGGGAAAGCATGAAACCCAGCTTTTTGTCAACTCCTTAACTGGTAGGACACAAGAAGAAAAGAAACAAAAAACACCAGCCCAAAAAGCTACAACAATGTCCTTCAAGCTTTTGAAACATCACAGTTAGCAATTATCTTTCAAAAGTTATTACTTTAAAAGTAATTTATTATTTTACTAGCTGTTCAGTGAGAGATCAAATAAAGCTAAGGTGCCTGGTTAGGAACGTTCTTATTTTATTTTATTACCATTTGAGAAACTTGATTGGTTACTTGAAATGCTGGAGAGAATAGCTGAGTAGGAGTTTGGGCAGGGTGAAGCCAGCTAGCCAAGAGTTTTGCATCTGGTTCACAAAAGAGCATGAGTAGGCTGAAATTCCAGGCTGATGAGATGGTCTCCACTATGACTACACTTCTTTCTTGGTAGAGAACTCGGTACCCTTGAGACATGAGCCATAGGGATGAAAGAGGAGTTTATTTTCTGGAGCACTAGAGGATCTCACTTTGCGGGGTTCTGTGGCCATTCCTGCTCCACTGGCAATGGCATCGGGATGCCGGTCACACTCTTTGGATCTAAGCTACACAAGAGCTGACAAGACACCAGAAATGGTCCAGGTTGTCTCTGAGCCAATGACTTAGAAATGGGAAGCATCATATCTTATGTCAAAAATTTGTCTGAGCCATGAAAGTATTCTCCCACCTTTTGGGAGCTGACAAAGGAGTCCTGGTACTGTGGTCCAAAAAGAGTTCAGTTCTGCTCATGACCCAGTACCAGTTCAGCACTGCTGCAATGTTTCAACAGTGCTCTGCCACATCCTGCCCTTTCTTTCCAAATCTGAAGATTTTTGCAGGATCTGCTGCTTCCCAAATTTGATCAATGTTGTTTTGCCTTTGTGTTAGCCTGTGAGTCCCCAGATGCACATCCTGCATGGGATGACCGTGACCCTGACTTCAGTGGGAACTTCTTCCTCTCACCGACAGTTCCAGCTGGACTCGTCCCACAGCCTGTGTTGTGTCCTTTGAGCTCTGGGGGCACAGAGACGCTCAGAGGCGTGTCAGGCTGTGCCTGCAACTGCCGTGGAACCCTCCTCAGTGGTTGCTGTGGAGGGCTGTGGATTGGTTCTGTGCAGCACCAGGAGCAAAGGAGGGAACCTTTATTCCAAGGGAGGCAAGAGAAACATCCCTGTGCTCTGAGGAAAAGGAGAAGAGAAAGTGAAGCTTCTTAGAAATTCCTCAAAAGCTGCAGGAATTGGTGAGGGGAGGAGGCTTTGAGATAATACATACACAGTAGTTGAAAGAGCCTTTGCGTTCAACAAAGAGTAAATTTCTCAGAACGAAAAAAAAAAAAAGAAAAAGAGGAAGAACTGTGGGAGACCTGAATCTGTGTTTGCATTTGAAAGACTGTGCCTCTCTTCAATTTTCTTACTGTTAAAATATCCTGAAAATATCTGTGTTTTTCTTCCTTTCCTTTGACATATTTTAAAATAAACTCATAGATCTAAACTACTATTTCAGCTCAAAAATGAGAAAAAATTCAGGGAGATCAGCAAAGAAATAAACTGCAAACACAATGTTTCCTTGGGGTTGAACAAATGCCTTGAATTCACCCTATTTTTAGTTTGTTTCTCTTTTTCCTGAGCTTCAGTTCCACACACTTTCAGTTTGTTTGACCCTTTTTAACATTTCTATTACTCATCCCTAGTTTAGTTTTTCATTTCTTAAATATTAATGAAAGAACAACAGCTACACATTGTTCTTATTTCTTAATCAAGAAATCAAGTAAATGTCTTGAGGTTGAGCAAACATGGGAAAGCATTCCATACAGCAAAAGATTTACAGAAATTATGGACAGAAAGCCCTAACTTGGGGAATGAGTCAGTCTGCTGCTGTCTAGCAGAAAAAATCAGCAGGGAGGTATAGAGCTTTTAGAAACAGCTTATGAATTTACAGCTTGCTAAGTAATTGAATTCTCTGTGTCTCTTATATGCATACACTAACTCATTCCCCACACATGTATGCATACAGGTCTCTGGTGGAAAGACAGAGAATGTGCAGTCTGCAATGCACATGAACTTTCTGTTTAGAAGAGAAAAGAAAAGATTTTTCCAATAGGCACAAAATCCCACCCCCTCGGAACCCCTCCTTCCCCTGTGTCTGACACTGACTTCAAGGGAGGAGTTGAGCCAATTATCTGTGAGTCCTACAGAAGGAAAATCTGCAATTTGCCAGTAGTTGTGAGAGAGAGAGGGAGAAAGACAGAGAGGGAAGGAAAAAGACTTAACTGGCAAACATAAAGAAAAGCCCCTTTTATCCTAGAGAGAGAATATTTTAAAGCAAATCTCAGACCAGAAGAAAAGAAGCCCGTGGGGAGGGATGAGCCAGGCAAGATCTGGGGAAGCATAGGGTCACCAAAGGCAACTTCCATGCTGACCCTGATCTTTCTGCAGAGGATCTGAAGCAGCCCAGAGGCAGGGTGGGCCAGCTGGATGCACCCATTACCCTGCACGAGTAGGTGCTGCTTTTGAAATTCTTCCCCCACAGCAGAGCCTACAAAGTACAACTTGCAAGAAAAGGCAGTGAGAGTGGGAGAGACTCAGCTTCTCCTTTTCTTGAACTGAGCCTGTAAGGGAAAATCTCATCTGCCCGAAGGGAAGAACTGTCACCAGTTCTGAGACTCTTCTTTAGCCTAAGTTGATTGCCTGATCCAGTACTTACATCCACGGGGGAATGCCCTCTGAAGCCCTGTGGTCCTTCCCAGTCCTGCTAAGTTCTTGGGAAATTCTGGAGAAGAACTGAGCTCAGAACAAGCAGCGTGGGATCCACAGAACAGCCTTTTACAACAGCGGCCACCTCAGATTAAAACTACCATCTTCATCAGACTGCACAGAGACCCAGGACTGCTCCTCCTGGGAAAGAGAGGTAAGAAATCAGCACTAAGTTTTTTGTGAAAGTAGGAAACAAACATCCTACAGGAGTGATTCTGGTGTGCATGAAAATTACAGGGACACTAGTATTAAGTATGAAGCGACAGGTTTGTTATGCACATTACAGTTTGTGTCTGCCTATGTCCTTTTTAGCTGGGTGCAGTGATTAACACTGGGGCGGCAAACAGAGACACAACCAGCAGCTGAAGACACAGGAGTGCAAGGGAGGTAGTTCAGAAGTCTATTCATGAATGAGGAGTTGTAGGGAGAGGATACACCCCGATGGGAGGATGGAAAACTAGGTGGAATAGCTCTGGGCAGGTTGAATAAAGAATATCTTCTTTAGCTATCTCCCTATGGGTGCTCAGGCTCAAATTTGTCAGCAGCTCACTGGCATTCAGACAAGCACTCTCAGAGGATACAAAAGTAGGTTCATTGTCATTCATTCTGATGCCTGCCAATAAAAAGATAAATGGTGCTTAGCAGGTAGATGATAACACAGGATGTCAAGAGAAATGGGGTTTAATGTTGATTTTGGACCACAGTTTCAGCTTTTTCTGGGCAAATGAGCTTTTCCCTTCATTCAGTGTTTTTTGAAGAAAACATTAATTGCCTGTATTTCTATGATATTCTGAAATCCCTGCAGTGTATCAATATAAAATACTAATATAAACTGTCTAGCATCAAGCCAGTACATAAAGCAGAAGGTATCACCGGGAATTAATCTATGCTTAAGCATTTAATAAACTGGAAGGAAAAGATGTAGATTAAAGCCAGCTGGAGGTTGTTTGTCTCCTCATTGTCTTCTGATTGATTTTGCTTTCCTTAGTACATGAACATGTGGTGTCTCTCTGTTTCCTTTCTACTGTCTTTAATCTTTTTCACTGTATGAGCCCCTGTACTCCCCCCTGCCACTCCTGGGTGTCAAGGCTGAAGTTTCATTCCTTTTCTGAGGAGGAAAGGAGACAGACTGTGTTGAACTAGAAAGAAAACCAGACTGAGGGGATAAGAAGAGAAGACTCAAAACAGAAATGTAATCCCTCAGTTCAATGGCAGGCTCTGAGTCAGGTTTGCAGCAGAGGTGATGTGTAGAAACTCCACAAATCAAAATGCTGAAAAGCATATTTTGACTTTGAAGGAAATTAAATGCATTTAAGAAAGCACAGGAGCCCTCTCAACTGAATGCCTTGACAGGTGGAACAAGGACAGTGCAAAGTCGGGTCCCTCGGCACGCATGTTCTGTACAGGACATAAAAGGCATCCGCGCAAAATGCGTAACTGTGCTCTCTCCCAGATGCTTTTGCACCAAGCTGTACAGAACTGCTCTCTAGCAGGTGTAACCCACACAGTCCACTTGCCCTCATGCAGCTTCACTGGCCCATCACAGCCTGAAGAGCTCCCTCACCTCTAGATACTGGTCCCGGGCAGTAAAGTAGTCTGTAGTTTTTACAACTCATCTGTTTCCCTGCTCTTCTCTGCCAAATAAATAAGCCTCAGAGGGTGAAAACAAGCATTTTTTGTCTGCCCATGCAAAACAGTATTGGATTGGCTATGTGGGATAGTGCACATGGCAGTGTTTCAGAGACTGAATATGGTACTTCTGCACTATTGGAGATAGGTCCTGTGGCAAACAAAACACAGAATCCAGTTCAAATACCAGCTGTGCGCCTTGCTGTAATTTCTGCCACAGTAATCCCAACAGTACTATAATTCTGCATGTGTGTGTCCATCCAAAGTTGTGATCTGGCATTAATCTGGCTCTAATATTAGGCTGTCCTGCCCTCTGAATGTAATTCAGAGTGTAAGCTACTCCAAGGAGAGCATTGCATTTTCTTTTGTGTATTAGGTAGGGCTGAATATGCCATTGTTGTGCTGAAAATTATGGCAATAATAATAAATAGTCATGTTTTGCTGTTTCCTTGGGCTATAGCACAGAGCTTGTTATGATGCTGGATCAGAATTCCAGAGACTTCTTTATTTAGCAGTGACTGTATCTTCACTGCTGCTTTGGTGCTTAGCGCATGTTAAACAAAGTAAATTATTTTAAGCTCTTCCTTGAGATAATTGTCAGCTACATAAAAGCTTGGGAGATAAAAGTCACTCAAGGGAAAGATAGGAATCCAGATCTGGATCCAGAAATAATCTTTTTGTGTATATAAAGTACTTACATTGTAATATTAAATAAACAACACCTAAGTTAAATAAATGGCAGAGTGGGAACTTGAATATTCTTTAATAAGAACCTAGTAACTAAAATAAACTCTGTCCAAAGTGTGCCTCCTTTGCTGTACCAGTCAGCTTTCCCCACACAGGAGCTGTATTTTTCTTTCAGCACAGAGTTCATTTGAACTGGTACATGAAAAAGATCTGAGCAGCACTTTTTATTTCCTATCAAAGTTTCCTGCATCTGAGTGCTATGCCAAAATGCAGTCTCCAGGGTCTCTAGACTAATTTTAGATGTTATGGGTTGGAAATCTTGTCTAATAGCTATTTAAGATGGCTGTCCTTCATCTTTTCTCCTGCTTGTAGTTAGCAGCCGTGCTTAGCAAAGCCAGTGGCACCCACAACATCTGTATGTATAAAAACTGGAGCTCCTGAAAAATCTGTGTTTCTGCAGTTCCACCCATTGACAGCCATCCTGCTACAACAATGATAGTTTGCTTATAGGGAGTTCCCACACTACAGTCCAAACAGCAGAATTAAAATCTGTTCTCTAAAAGGTCACTGGAAGCACAGATCTTTGAATTTATCATCAGTGCTATTTTGTGGCTCACGCTCCCTGCATCAGCAATGGATATTGCATGGGATCAGCTATTTAAAGTTACTGAGATCTCTAGCTTGCACTGATGTTAAGCATGATTCTTGTTTCTGTCTGACTTTTGGCTGATCTCAGAAAATGAGTATTATGCACAGCTGCTATTTAGGCAACCAAATGAAGTGATCTAGGTTCTAATGGCAGCTGCAGTGCCTGTAATATATGGGGGAATCTGACCTCTGTGTTTATGTATCTAAATGAGAACCAAGTTCTAACAAAAAATCTGGTAATGTGTAAGTGACACAGATGGTAGGAAGGAACCTGGTGTCTCAGTTGAAGAGCAGCTGATAAATTCAGCCCTTAATGTTTAAATGTAACAGCAAAGATAAATTCAACGCTTAATGTTTAAATGTAACAGCAAATAACAATTCAAAATAATGTTATCTTCAGTGTAAATGCCTTCATTTTTATACTACCTTAAAAGAAAATAATGAACAACAATAACAATAAAATAAAAAACCCACTAACTGAAAATGAGACGGAAAAGTTTAAGCATTTCCAGTGAAAAAGATCCCTGTATGGACCACTGATTGCTCTGCTGTGCAGGACTATGCTTCAGAGTGCTCTTTGGCGAGCTTGTGGTGAAGAGCTGCCTTGTTTTACCCTCCATCTGGTTTCTGATCTTTCCTCCAACTCTGCTATTTCCTCTTTCAGGACCAAGCAATGATGAAGACCATGTCTGGTGCAAACTGCAACCTGAACGTGCCGGCCAAGAACTCGTACCGCATGGTGGTGCTGGGAGCCTCCAGGGTGGGGAAAAGCTCCATCGTCTCGCGCTTCCTCAACGGCCGCTTCGAGGATCAGTACACTCCCACCATCGAGGATTTCCATCGCAAGGTCTACAACATACGGGGAGACATGTATCAGCTGGACATCCTGGACACCTCTGGGAATCACCCTTTCCCTGCCATGAGGAGGCTTTCCATCCTAACAGGTGAGAAAGTTGGGGGGAAGGTCATAAGGACAGACGTTAGCTTGAAAAGTGTAGCCTAGCCTGCGGATGATTGGTTTTTGGCACATAGCTAAAGGGACTGCTTGACTTACTCCAAGATGCATTTCTACAGAGAGATATTTCCTGGCTGGCATGTTCCCAGCACTATAAGGAATGCATTAGCCACAGTGGAGATGGTCTGAAATTGAGATTTTCCCTTATCCATCTACCTTCCCCTACTGCTTTGAATTTTTATTAATGTCACAAATAAATGGCTGAATGCAATTCTGTGGGTATAAAGAGCAGCAAAGGGCAAATTAAGCAAGATGTTATAGGATACATACAGTGAAAAAAAAATCTAAAATACAGAGAAAGGGAATTCTAACCGAGAAAGTCACAAGGATTTTTTATTCTGAAAATTCCAGCCTGATTTCCTTGATTTAATATTGCAGTAGAAGAATTGCCTTACTTTTATCCTTTCTCCTTAATGTGCATTTAATCAAATATGTTTAAAGATAAAAGAAGAGGAAATGGTGGGATCATTTTGCATCTTCTCACTGTCAAGCCATTCCTGTTGTAAGCTAAAATATATTATTTAATTATAAAAGTGACAGTAGATGTATATTCAGCCACAGCTCACAACAATAGCTGGATTCGCTATCTACCTTTCTAACTGTCCAGTGAAATATAACATTCACATCTGACAAGGCTACAATCCATATTCAGTGAGGTCCTAGAACCAGTTTCTGGGACACAAATGTGAGCTTTAGTCCCTGAAAGCTCTCTTAGCATGTTCCACACGAGTGTCATTCAACGGGCAATGGTTTGCCTTATTTTCTAGTTGCAAAAGGAATTGTAACTAAGGAAATGTCAAAAGGAAATGCCAGGGGATGTGTGTCATTTATGTATTAGGTTTTTTTCATGGTCTGCTTCTCTTGAGGAAATGCAATGACAGCAGAGCACACTGAGAAACCTCTCGTTCCTGACTTGGGTGTTCAGGACTGATTAGCTGTAAACCTTCAGTTCAGGTGTTCTTTCATGTATTGTGTAATCAAAGGGTTAAGGCTGAGTGGCTACCAGCTCTCCACTCTTTCTGGTGTCTGAAGAGGATGTGTTTTACACAAAGATACAAATGAAAGGAAGTGAAAAGAAGAGCAATGCAGCTGAGCTGAGATAGAAACATGTCTACAAAAGAGATAAAAACAGGCAATAACTTGCAAGCCCAGTGTAAACTAAGAATGCAACTGGATATGACTGGAGTAACATCATAGCCAAAAGTCTTTCCCATAGCACTATAGAAAGATGTGGGGAATTAAATGAGAATAACGAAAGTACAGCTGAGTGAGTAGGTGCCAAAGGACCAAACAAAAAATATGGGGAGAAGATGGAAATTAAATAATTGCTTTTTTAAAATTTGCTCCTCTGAAACTGACTGTGACCAACAAACCTTTATGGTATCTTTTCTTTTTTAATTGCAGGGGATGTTTTCATCCTGGTGTTCAGCCTGGACAACAGAGAATCCTTTGATGAGGTCAAGCGACTCCAGAAACAGATCCTTGAGGTCAAATCCTGCCTGAAGAACAAGACCAAGGAATCAGCTGACCTCCCCATGGTGATCTGTGGCAACAAAAATGACCACAGTGAAATCTTCCGCAAAGTACGCACTGACGAAGGTGAGGATCTTGTCTCCAGTGATGAAAACTGTGCTTACTTCGAAGTGTCAGCCAAGAAGAACACCAATGTGGATGAGATGTTTTATGTCCTCTTCAGCATGGCCAAGCTACCTCATGAGATGAGCCCTTCCCTCCACAGGAAAATCTCCATCCAGTATGGTGACACTTTCCAACAGAAATCCTTCCGGATGCGCCGATTCAAGGACATGGATGCCTATGGCATGATCTCTCCCTTCGCTCGCCGGCCAAGTGTCAACAGTGACCTGAAGTACATCAAATCGAAAGTTCTCAGGGAAGGGCAGTCCAGGGAGAGAGAGAAATGCACAGTCCAGTGAAGGAGGCTTGCACTTCTGTCTGAAGACAACATCCACATGCAGTGCCTTAAAGAAAAATGGTCTGTGGAAGCAAAGAACAGGCTCGTGGGGGTTATTGACAAAACCCAACACAGAGAAAGGATAACTTCCTGTGGATTCTGCTGAGTCACAAATGTAAATAACATCATCCTTGAAGATGACTGGGAATAATCATACACCTGAGATACAAGTGCATTTTTTTGTCTTTGTAATGTAGTTTCTCCTCATTCCCCTTTTTGTTAGAAAAATACAGTCCTGAGAAGTAAAGACATTTCAGCTTTATCGTTACAAAGAAAATAGATCAAAAATGCACAGAAGGCATTAACAGTGACCCAGCATGCAGCTCTTACTAAGAGAGAGGAGGTTATGTGTGTGTGTGTGTGTGTGTGTGTGTGTGTGTGTGTGTGTGTGTGTGTGTACCTCTGTGTGCCCATGTGCACGTGTGCATGCATGTGTGGACCTCTCCTTTTACAAAGTGGGACTTGCATTTCAAAGAGGAACAGTCTTAACTGCACATTCCCAGATTGGGAGTGGACTCTATATATGGATGCGTGACTTTCACTCACTTCTGAGGGCACCTGCATTAAGAACTTGGTTTTATGTTTGTTGGGGCAGTTATCATTTGACATTGACATGAATGTTGGTTTGTATTACAGATTTTATTTGGGATTTGTTGGGGGTTTTTTTTAATTGTCTGGGGGTGGGTTTTTAGCAAAATCAGATGGCAAGTGCATTTGATATTAAACAGTGTCTGCTTTCTACCAGTGAAAGGTGGTTTTCATCTGTAATGCTTTCTAATATGTACACTGACTGAAAGTGAAATTATTCTGCAAAAAGCCAATGCATTTCTCTGCTTTGGAAGTCTGGTGTGATGTTGTTTCTCAAAGCAGCCACACCGATTCTGACTTTCATAATACAAATGCCACCCTTTGCCTTTCTGGCCACTGGACTAATGATCCCTTCCTCTGCCTGTATCAGCTGAGAGTGACCAGACTTGTATGTAGAATCAGACCACTTCAGGGTCAGGAATGGATTCTTTTTCAAAATAAGAACTGAATGGTTATAGGGCCAGCTCCTTCATATTTCTTCAGCTGACATGCTTCTAGTAATTTTGTTCATGCTTTCCCTCACTGTCCAGTAAAGATTGCCTTGATCATTTACACTGCAGAACCCCTTCAGAACAGAAGCTTTGTCCTGGCTGTTCAAACAGGATTGAACTGACTGGTCAGATAAATCTGGGGCTGTCCATTCACTTCTTTCCTTTCTCAGCCCAGTATAGGCTTCCTTATCCCTGTTCTGCTTCTGGCTCTGTTGTTTGATGAGCTCCTGTATGCCCTCAAAGTCCAGTATATTCTCTCAAATGTGAGCTTGCTCCTCTTGCTGACTGGAATGAAATGTGTGCACACGTATCTGTGGGCAAAGCATGGCCCCAAGACAGCAAACAACAGTAGAATATATATTTTATATATACCTCAGAAAGATGTTCACATATATTGTCCTTCCCTCACCCTAAAGTTCTGTGTTTGGCTACATCTGCCTTGCTGTGTCTTGGGCAGAGCTGTGAGCTAGTTCGTGCTATAATTTGACAGGAAACCAAGAATGATGATTGTCTGTAAAAATTAGCCTCTGGGATTCAAAGTCCCATACTCATTTATCAACTCCACCCTTCATTGGTACTGTATTAGTAAAATACACTGTTATTTTATTCCTGTTGCCAGGGCAGCACCTTTCTGACCACGTCTCCCTCCCTTCTATAAATATGTATATGGTTTATGATTAAATCTGATTTATTTATTAGTTGCGTCCTGGTTTGGTTGTTTGTTTTGTTGGTTTTTTTAAATGTCTAATTTTTAACATTTTTTTTAACTTTAATTTTAACAAGAATCATGAGGAAGGTCCTGTATTTATGTTGTGCAAGTGAATCTAGGTAAGTGAGTTCTGGGTTGAGAGTCACAGTGAGATCTCCAGTAAGTTCTGGAAGAGCTTTTTATGTCCTATAGACAGCAGGGGCTACACATTTTCCTGTTCAGAACAGAACTGTGTCTATACCCATATCTACCTATCGATTGTCTTTTTGACCACTAACTTCTATATACAGATGTCTGCAGAGGCAGACAGTTACTTTTTCCCATGCTGCCTACAAAATGAAACAACAACAACTCTCTTCTTCCTGCACAGAGCTGATGTGTTGATCCCTGGTGCAATTTAACGTGGTCTCTGCAAAGACATCACTGTTTATCTCAGCAATCTCTCCAGGTTGCCATCTGTACCTCCCACTTCTGTGAGTCCTGATCCCCCTGAGCACATCCTCACCACTCCACAGACTCCCCACCCAAGTGTATGACTATGAATGTACCAGTGATCAGGCTCTGGAACTCGTGTGCCTCAAGGACATGGAGCGGGTTTGAAGATGGAGTGAGAAAGGCATAAGTAATGGCTATTGGTTGGGTTAAGAGACTCTGGAATACTAAATGAGAACTCCTTGCACTATAAACTATGCACTGCAATACTGACCCTGCATCCACTCTCCCAGGCCTGTAGGATATAGCTGAATTTTTAAGGAGCCTTCAAAATCAAATCTCTGTCAACAATGACCTTACCATTATTTTCCCTACTTCTCCACATCTCCACAAACAGTCTTTCCATCTCCAAAAAGACAGCAGATTCCCACACCCTTCCATGTTCTCCTATTCCCACCTCTTCCACCATGGACACAAAGCCACCCAGCATGGAAAAGCAGCATTGCCCTGACAACAGAGGCACAAGTGTAGGGGAGGCTGAAGACCAAAGAGCAGGTGCTCACATATGCTGGATGCCACAGGAATGCCAGTGAGCCCCAGCTGCACAGTTCTGCTTGGCCAGCCAATGCTCAAGGTGAGAAGCATCTGAGAAACTGGCTGGGAATGAAGGTGAAGCAGCATTACAATCACCCACAAAATCAAATAGCAATAAGTAGATAATCTTATTAAAGTAATCCTAGTCTTCTCACTGCATTTTGTTACTAATGGTAATTGCTTTTGAAGTTAGATTTTCATGCTCCTGAGGACATTTTTTTTTCTTTTATTGTATCATTACAGTCATTCTATTAATATCTATATATTATTTGGGCTCTAAAAGTATCTACAGCCCCTAAACCAGACGGTATGTGTATCAGTTGTTTATTCACAGTTAGCAGCCATTATGTTCTGTGGAAAGGCCAGAGACTGGGATGCAGAGACATAACATAAGGCAGAAAGAGGAAAGAGGAATTGTTTCTTTCCTGCTAACCACTGAATGCATCTGGCTGTAGAACAGAAAATGGAAGAGCTTTATGGGAAACTCTTATTATGTGTGTGTTCAAAAATTGTGAGACCCTGAAAGGAGCAAAGAAGAGACCTATGGCCAGGTCTCAGATGCACCACCAAAAAGAGAAACCACCTCTTTTTTTTTTTTTTTTTTTCCTTTGAGATTCAAGAGACCTGCATGAAACTTACTGCAACCCAAGAAGTCATGAAGATGCACAGGACTAAGGGCAGGCCTGGAGGAAGGAATCTGTCTGGAAGAGATGCTAAGAGTACCCTTACTTGGTCTTACCTAGTGTAATTAATTTGCTTTATTCCCACAGCTACCTTATCCTACATTGCAGTATATAAACCCCAACACTAATGATGCAAAGCCTTGCTTACGGTTTTTGTGTACGTACTTTCAGGACAATAAGCAGAGACCCAGCTGAGGATCAATCACATCCTTGGAACAAGATGTGAGATTTATTTTTTATATTGCTCAACATAGCAAGATAGTCCTTGTCCTGAAGAAAGTCCATATAGGACAACACATAGGAGCTACTATAAATATTGGCAAAAATCTAATCAAGTCACAGGGTCAGTACAAATCAGGAAGGAAATAGTGATCATGGTGAATTAAGTAAAAAACAATCTGAGGGTGGAGAGGACAGAACGAAGGCCTGTTTTGTCATCCAAAGGATTAAATTAGGCTTCTGTTCTGAAGGATCCCCAGGAGAGCTGCTGCCACCAGGCCAGCCTAATGCTAGAGATGATGCAGCCTCACAGAGAGCATTGTCTCCCTGAGACCCTGGGATTCAATATGTCTGATTGTCTGAGAGGTCAAAGGTCTTTCACAAAGGCAAGTAGGAAATGGTGGGATAATTTTTTAAAGGGCAGCAGAAGAGAGCTTCAAAAGGGTGCTCACAAAAGGTGAGCAACAGGAGGTTGTCCAGGTAAATAATCAAAAAGATAGGCTAGAATGTTAGCTATAAAATGTACCTTTCATCTTTATTTCATACTTCTCTATGCACAAGTCAAAAAGAAGACATTTTATTTAGCCTTTTGATCCTTCCCCAAATGTTAGCCGCTGCTTACTGCTGTGTAGAACCCACCTCCCACCTCTCATTACACCTTTTTCTGCTCTAGATTTACTCTCCTGTTATCTACCTTACTATGGGTTACTTTGCTAGCCCTGTCTTAGTATCTTGGCTAGCGTAGAAGGTTACAAGAAAATGTGGTTTTTAAGTAACTGATAATTATGTGGTTTGATTTGAAATCACTGTTACATTCAGGGATTTTATTAGCATTATTGTTTCTGTAAAATTACACAGTGGCAGGCTCAGATTAAAGGATCTCCTTGAAAAAGTATATAAAACATGATATAATGTACATTTTCCCCACTGGTTTCTATAGCAACAGCCTTTCCACTGCACTCAGAAAGAGCAGGGAATTTGCAGGGGGGAGATGAGTAGCAGTACCTCTGCCCTGCTCAGATCTTTCACTTCTCAGTCCTCATGGGAAATTTTCCTCCCTTCAGTTTCTCTTATGTGGAGAAACAAAGACCACCAACCAGAGCTGCTTTGCAGACTACTCTATGTCTTGTAAAGCTTGGGATGGATATTTACCACAGATAAGAAAGTTTTATTGCATTATTTCCATGTCCACGATGTAGTTATCAACTGGGCATTGCTCATGGCACAGTTCCTGATACGGGGAATACACATAGCAAAGTGCTATGAACCAGCTGCTGCACTCAGGTTTGATTAGAGCTAACTGTGAGCCTGGACCATCTCCACTCTTCTCAGTGCCTGTCACGCTCACTCTGAGCCTGAGACTTCCCAGAGAAACATTTCCTTTTGCATCACGGCAACATCAGCCAAAAACCTTTCCTTGCCTCTACCATCGTTGGTCATCCACAGCAAGCAGAACCACACTAAGTCCCAGGCATCGTGTTCCTAGAAAGTTATTGACAGCTTGGAAGGAGACCAAGAACTAGCAAGAAAAACATTTTATGAGCCTAAGGGGATTGTCTTGAGTAAGCCTTAAGAAAACTCTGAAAGAGACAATACTGTGCTATGCAGGCAAACTAACTCTGAGAGAGCCTGGGTGAAAACCCTTGATGTGTTTGAGAGGTGGAGATGACAACTGAGACAGCTCTTTTTTTAGAGTTTGACAGGGGGATAGTTCAGTAAGGAACAGGATTATTAAGAAGGAAAATGTAGGAAAGACAGCAGAGCAGATTTTAGGGCAGTAGAATCTACTGGAAAATTTTCTAAGAGATGTCAGGAAAGTCCCATTAAGAAAACACTGGGAAAAACACTGAAACCTACATGGCCAGCAGGGATAATAACCTAGTGTTGGCAGTGGGCTAGGCTGACTGAGCCAGTAGGTTTTCTTGATCCCACACACTTGTTTCTGTGATGGACCCTGAACCCAAGTCTGCTTCAAAGAAATTTCCTCAGACGGTCTGTCCTTACTGCACACTCCCAGTCACACAAGTGGAGGGTTGGTAGCTCACTGGTCCCCTCTCAGCAAACCACTAACAACAGAGACATGACTTCTTATGTCAGACCCTGCTTATTACAGCATTTCCACAAAGATCCCTGGACTGTTTGGAGCAAACAGCTCCTTTGGTGAATAGTCCATGAGCAGCTTTTTGTGCATTTGTTTATTGTTCAGAAGTATTTGATGACTCATTAACACAAATGGGTCCTGTGCTTTAACTGGGGCGGTTAATTAAGATTATCTGTTCAGATTAAACATGAAAACAAGGACAAATGAGGCCACTGTGTTTCAGGACATCATGTAGCAAAGTAAAATAACATAAAGGAAAAATAATCCAACTTGAGTATGTGTCCTCACATTACTCTGACCTAGAGACATTTCAGATGGACTGTATTTATTCAAGAGTGTCCTCTCACAAGCATTTGTCTTTCAGCAGTTAGTATAGAACACTAATTCATGCGTAAAAACATTGAATATTTTACACTTTTTCATAACAATATGTCTTGAGTCCATATTTTGAGGTTAAAAAGAAGCAAAACAAAAAAACCCTACAGTTTCCAGAGTTGTGGCCAATGAAGGTGTGGTGATGGACAATTCCAAGAAACAATTCCTTCACATATTAGGACCTTATCTGGAAAACTGGAACAATTCTATTACACTGGGACTTGTGGTCTTTCTATTCCACTGGGTACCAAAGCCACACCAAACCACAATTAAACACATTTCTAGCAGTGGAGCTGCATCTTGCATTTCAGAACCCACTAACATCAGGACTGTGACAGACCCCAACTAGTTCTTCAATGGCTTTGCAAAGCTTTCAGGAGTTTCAGAGCTAAAGTAAGCTCAAGCTGGTAAAATAACTGTGTGTTAGGTAACATGGGTTTCTGTCTTGTTCTTCAGGTCAGAGACCTAACTACCTCTAGGAAGAGTTCTAGCAGTTTCCACATCCTTTACATAAATCAGTGTCTTGGTTTCCCATCTCTGAGAGAAGGCAAATAGCACTCATGGGATAGCTGAGAGAGGATAAAC